AAATTAGTCTCTTTGAGGAACTTGTTTTTGCCACGAAATATAAAAAAAATGGAATGGATGTTTTAAAGCAATATTAGAAGAACGCTTAAAAAGTGGGAACGTGGGTAAAGAGGTGAGGAATACAAATTTTGCAAGATCTTTGGTTTTTGGGTAGGAAATGAACCTAGTAGTGGTAAAATTGACAACAATCACAAGATCTGTGCGCTGCTGCCGAAGAGGAAGTTGAGCATTGGAGAAGAGGGACCCAAATCACCAGATCTTTGTGTCGTCAGAGTTTCATCGAAGAGAACGAGAGCGCCCTTAGAGTTTCACTGAATATAACACGAGAGCCGTTGTTGGAGTTCCTTTAAAGAGACCGCGAGAGCCGCTGCCAGAGTTTTGTCGAAGAGAACGCCGAAGAGAGAAGGCAGAAAGCGCCGTCAGAAGTTTGGAGGAGGGAGAAGGAGGCAGAATGCGTACGAGAAGAGGGAGTGTAATATTGAAACCCTCAAAATTTTCCTTAATGCTAACCGAGTGGGCCAATTTTTCCCCCCTCAATTTTTTTAGAATTGCCACCTCTTTTTCATAGCATTAATAAGTAAGATGCTATAATTTAATACTATAAAAAGCAGTATTTGTTGTATTTGTTGTATTGTTTAGCCCTGTTGTAAAGACATCCACAATCCGTGTAGTTTTCACAATGGCGGTTTCGTTTGGCTGTGCTCTTTGTCAATTGGATTTCGATAATGCATTCTTGAATGGAAAATTAGAGGAAGAAGTGTACATGCAACATCCCCTGGTTTTKAAGATCCTCAATTTCCCCACCATGTCTGSAAGTTAGATAAAGTTATCTATGGCCTACGATAGGCACYCATAGCTTGGAGTAATACTTTAAAATCAGCATTATTATCCTGGAGGTTTCTCAACTCTAGGTCTAATACACCTCTATTCATTTATCGTCAAAGTATGACTATTGTGTTGCTCCTCGTCTATGTTGATGATGTAATTGTCACGAATAATAATGCTTCTCTGATCGAAAAATTTATTTCTGAGTTGGATACTAAATTTGCACTTAAAACCTTGGTCATCTAAGTTACTTCTTGGGGATTCAAGTTCACAAATTACCTTATGGTCTTCTTTTAAATCAGTCCAAATACATTGATGATCTACTCGATCTGCTAACTCCAACTTGAAGGTCTCAAACCTGCATCGTCACTGTCGGTTGTGGGGAAGCAATTAGTTTTGTCTTATGGGCAACCATTAATTGACCCCACATTATATCAAAGTATTATTGGAGCCTTGCAATATCTCACCACCACTAAACCGACATCTCCTACGTCATAAATCAYTTAAGTCAATTTCTCAAACAACTAACTGATGCCTATTGGCAGGCCGTCAAAAAAGTTATTCGTTATCTTAGTGGCACCAAATCTATGAGACTTCTAATCCAACCGTCAGACAACTTGTCCATTTCTGCTTTCTCAGATGCTGATTGGGCATCCAATGTTGATGATCGTAAGTCTATTGCAGCATATTGTRTTTTCTTCGGGAACACACTTGTCTCATGATCTTTTAAGAAGCAAACAATTGTGGCTCGATTCAGCATGGAATCTGAATATTGAGCCTTAGCACATGCATCTGTAGAAATTATTTGGCTCACCCAATTACTTGGAGAAATTGGGCTCCCATCACCCTCTGTTCCGGTTCTGTGGTGTGACAACATCAATGYTGGTGCCTTGGCTACAAATCCAGTATTTCACGTCCGAATGAAGCATATTGAGATCAATGTGCACTTTGTTCGAGATCAAGTTCTTTGTGGAGCTCTTGAAGTTCGATATGCTCCTTCTGTAGATCAAATTGGTGACTGCCTCACTAAGTCCTTGACTCACAGTCAATTTCATACTTTGTGGAGCAAACTCGGGGTCGTTGAACTCCCCTCTCGTTTGAGGGGGAATGTTAAGTATGAAAACTAATTATCCAACCTTGGTAAAATTCATTTTACTGTGAGTGAAACTTTTAGTAATTTTAGTCAATCTTCCGTAGGGTGCAAAGACTCCACTAAACATGAGGGACAAATAGATTTATGACATGTGTATAGCTTTATTGAAAATTCCAATATGTTGGTTTATTATTATTTTCCTTTTTGAAACTTGAAACCTTAATTGTTGTACTATTTATACAGAGCATTGCTCTTCGATAAAAGGAGTGATTGACAGCTGCAAACCTAATTTCTTGAGAAACGTTATTTAGAAGTAGACAATAGTGAGGAAGGAAGAGAGGGAAGATGAAAGAGAAAAGCCACCTCAACAAATATATAAATATAGGAAAATACTTGTCTCCTCAACAATGAGGAGGAAGCTTGTCCTCGCCATTAAATATTTGACAATTAAGAGAGAGAAATGTAAAAGAATAAATTTTTTTAAAATAATAATAAGTTGTCAAATATTTTGTGGTGCGGAGGACAAGGTTCTTCATCACGGTTGAGGAGGCAAGTATTTTCCAAAAATTAAGGAAAAAAAAAAATATATATATATATATACACATACACACATATATTTATACTTTTCCCTAAGTCACCAAATATGAGCATGTTAACCACACATGACTAAGTCAAATGAGTTTAAGGACCATTTAAAACTATTTTTTTGACTAAAAGWATCATTTTTGAAACCTAAAAACCAAATAGGCACCAACTCCAAATTTAGGGACAAAAATGTATTTTGCTCAATTTTCTAAAACAACTCAACATACACGTAGTAAGGGGAATTTAAGTGAATGACTAAATTTTGGCATTCAGTTTAAAAAATAGACATTAATTTTAAATTTTGCACAAATTGTCAAAGGATATTTTAAGAGTTTTACAAAATATGGTGATTTTCCAACAATACCCTTTTCCATGGTTTTTTTTTTGGGTTTTTCTTAYATTCAACCACCTAACAACCTTGTTTTTTATTCAAATTGTTTTTCCTACATTAAAGGGATTTTAAATGAATTATTTTAATTATTTTATATTGACTTTYAGTTTATTTAAATGATTTATCATTGTTTTACTGTCTCACATCTCATCGTTATGACATTGTTCTACTATATCTTCTTCTAAGTTCCCTCTTCTCTCCTTGCAACAATAGATTGTGTGGACTTATTTAATCGCATATCATTATCAAATTAAGTTTCTGAATATTCTTTCGACSTTGATTTATTTCTCTTTTCTTCATCTGTAGACTGATYATTCACCCTTTCATTCTCATCAAACTTTCTATCATCCTTTTAAACATTTGATGAATTATTAAAAATTGAATGTCAATAAATGTATATACCAATTGAATAATTATTAAACATAGCAGGGCAATACATGTATATATCATTATGTAACTCAATTATCAAAATTAGAAGGTCAATAAATATATATACCAATTGAAGAATTATTAAATTTAGAAATATGTGTATATATCACTATAAAACTTAATTGCTAAAATTAGAAGGTCAATACATGTAAGTACCAATTCAAGAATTATCAAAACTTGTCAATACCGTATATATCATAATGCAACTYAATTATCAAAATTAAGAGGTCAGTATATGTGTATATCAAATTTCAACTCAATTATCAAAATTAGGATGTCAATACATGTATATCACAATGCAACTCATTATAAGGTCACCAATAACATTTATATAGGACATAAAGTAGTTGGACTTACGTAGATATACTTCTCAAATTTGATTTTAAACGATACATTCATGTGGTCGGTCCCACATCTGTTTTTTATTTTAAAATTCTTCCTAAATTAGAGGAAGGCAAAAAACAAGCTTTTAAACYTTTCCTTACTTCACTTTCCATTGTTCAAAGTCCCAAAATCAAAACAAAATACTAAGTTGTTGAAGAGACAACTGGACAACAGTGGACTGTCGGTCGATGTGGGGTAGATCTCAACAGCGACGATGCGTGGAATGTTGGGCGGCGGCATGCRGACTAGAATTGGGCGACGAGTCATACACCGACAGGCAGAACGCTGAACGGAATGAGGAGAAACTGACTGGAACGAGACGAAATTGATCGGTATCAGAAAGAGGCAACTGACCAGAACATGATTGACTGATGACCTGGGCGGGACGGTGGAAGACTAGAGGTGAAKATGAAAGTTGGAGTAGAGATGGAGATGTGGGGCAAAAAGGGGTTGCTACCAAACAAACCCTAAATCCAACTTCTTCAAACACAAGGTTATAATCCTAAGTTTTCATAAATCTCACTAGAAATATTCATAATTACCGTTCTTATTWAAGAATTTTAGATTTTAAATCTATAAATTTCAAAATCTACCTTAACAATTTTTTTATAATTTTAAAATCTATTTTCAGAATCTCCTTTCAAAATA